GGGTTAGGTTGTGCATCTCCCAAACGTCTACTATTCTGTAGTGGACTATTCCGCTCTATAGAAGTGAAATCGAATCTTGGGCGAGTCTGAAAGCAGTTTCTTCGAGCTGCAACAGTGAGAATACAGCTGCAATATCTTGAAAAGTAAAAACCAATTCGAGTTAATTATCAAAGCAAGGGCAAATTTATTTCTAGCTAACTTGAGAGTAACAGAAAGACTTGATTATTAGAAAAATCGTAAAACTTGTATCTGATAACGAGCACCACTTTTACCAAAAATTAAGGATTTATTCGCAAATGCAATTCTTACTTGCACTCAGATACTTAGAGGGTTCTAAATTTACGGTTGCAAAAGTCATTAACCATACATTCAAAAACAAAAAAAATCCTCCACCTTGATTGCAGATGCACTATGAATACCAGCCAACACCGTCCGCGGATCAAAGGATATGCTAAGAGTACCTTGTGGGGTTGTTAAGGTAGCAACGGCACCTCCTTGAAGTCTTGAAGAAACTAGCTGAAACATAAAAATGCAACGATTAACCAAGTGAAGCAATTTCTCTAGAAGTTCAAGACACGACTTTATTCAGTGTTTATTTTACACTCGTGTGAACATTGCAATCTGAGGAAAGAGTTAACTGTGGAGTTTTAAAAACGAGTTCACGAGCCAGCACCTCTTACCTCGTCATGGCGATTGGGTTCGGTCAAGTCGTCGTCGCTGTCACCAGTTGATTCCACGAGCACGTCATGGGAGACACGCTTTCGAAGTGCCTCTGAATTTTTACTATAAGGCAAAACTATTGGGACAAGTTCGAGTTCAAGTTGTGTAAAGTAATTGAAAGCAAGAAAGAATGTGATAGAATATTCATTCTAAATAAAGTGATTTGAATTCAAATCAACCACATGTCAACTAAAACTTTTCTATTTACATTTAGTTCCCGAACAATTAAGAAGTTCAATGAACAAAATATGTCGATGAAGAGATCTAATGACAAATTTTCCTGCGCTTCCAAATCAAATTTCAAGGATTTTTTGAGATTTAGCGCTATGATTAACGTCTAAGAGTTGCATAAGGGTGGAAAGGGTTATATGATAGTAGTGTTTTAAAAAGAAGAAAATCTAATTAGTGCAATGGGTGAGCAAATATCACTCACGTAAATACTTCGTATGAAAGTCCTCAGCCAATGAAGCGACCTTTTGCAGCTCGATTAAATGAATTCGAAGTACAACGATCGCATCCTTCATAAGTTTGTCGATTTTCTCATTACCAGTAGTTGCTGACACCCCATTCGATTCGAGTTTACGAAATAACTGAAAACAGACACTTCACTTGACTCGACATATTCCCACTTCTGATGGTCTGACCAGTTGCGCTCTTCAACTCGAAGCACTCCATGTATGAGGAGCAAATTTTTTTTGAGCCCTCTTGCGCGCGAACAAACTTTGTCCAGGTATGCCTACATACGTTGTACACACATGATTCATATTCTTCAGGAAGCAGCACGAAAACGAGAGCTGCGTGCATATTGACGCTGAGTTCGTCAAGATGAGTCGGCTGTTTTGTTTGCTTGGGTGCTATTCACATTACATCAATGGGCCATCCTTATCTGTGAGGCATTTTTGTGCTATACTGGGCACAGAGAAATGTATACTATCA